AGTTTGCTGTCCTTTCACTGTTCATCTTTTTTATCTTTTTTCTTAGGTAAGACCCTTTAACATTTCATATAATAAGGGCTTGGTGATGATGAACTCCTTGAATTTGATCTTATCTAAGAAGCACTTTATCTGTCCTTCCATTCTAAATGAAAGCTTTGCTGGATAGAGCAATCTTGGATGTAGGTCTTTGGTTTTCATGATATGGAATACCTCTTTCCAGCCCCTTCTTGCCTGTAAGGTCTCTTTTGAGAAATCTGCTGACAGTCTGATGGGAACTCCTTTGTAGGTGACTGTCCCCTTATCTCTTGCTGCTTCTAGAATTCTCTCCTTCATTTTAATCTTGGCTAATGTAATGATGATGTGCCTTGGTGTGTTTCTTCTTGGGTTCAACTTCTTTGGGACTCTCTGAGCTTCCTGGATTTCCTGGAAGTCTATTTCCTTTGCCAGATTGGGGAAATTCTCCTTTATTATTTGTTCAAATAAATTTTCCACTCGTGGGTGTTCCTCTTCCCCTTCCCCTTCTGGTACCCCTATAATTTGGATGTTGGAATGTTCAAAGATGTCCTGGAGGTTCCTAAGCCTCTCCTCATTTTGTTGAATTCTTGTTTCTTCATCCTTTTCTGTTTGGTCATTTTTTTCCTCTTTCTGGCCCACTCCTTTGATTTGAGTCCTAGTTTCCTTTCCATTACTATTGGTTTCTTGTGCACTTCCACTCATTTCAATTAGTTTAGCCTTCATATGTTCCTCTAATTTGTGACTAAAATCAACCAGTTCTGTGAGCATCCTGATCACCAGTGTTTTCAACTGTGCATCTGAGAGTTTGGCTATTTCTTCATCACTTAGATTTATGGGCTCTGGGGCTCTGAGTTTTTCTTGAGTCATGTTTTGATCTGTTCGTGCCTGTTACGTATGAGGAGGTGTTCACCAGGGCGGGGCCACCCAGGTCACTGGTTTGTGACACTGTATGTGGGGGCGGGGTCAGAGAGGAACAATGGTGGTCCCCTCTGCCACTTTCCACTACTGGGGCCTGCACAGTCTCTCTCACTGCTTCGCTCCTTCACCGGTTTATCTGCGCTCGAATGTGTGACTGTGGTCAGCCCTCAGTGAGTCCACCGCCTTGCGCCCTCAATGGGTCTGCCCGCTACTCCACACCTGGGATCCGCCTACGGCTGCCGGCACCCTGGGTTGTGTGCCTGGGTTGCGCGCCCCAGTTGGTCCAATGGATCTTTCCTGCCTGACCCCACTCTGCTGCTGGTTTGGCTGAAGGGTTCGTTGTTGTCAGACTTCCGTGTAGTTCAATTTTCTGTGTTTTGGCTGCATTTTTATTGCTAAAACTTTGTTGTTTTTAAACTTGGTTGTGTGAGAAGATGCAATGCTTCCACCTATGCCTCCATCTTGGCGGAAGTGGTCGGTTAAGTTACTTACTTATTCACATATTAACTCCCAAGAATGGTGATTAAAGAAAAAGGAAGAAACCACCCTACTTTGTTCTGGAGCTACTTCTGCAAACAAAGAAAGGATACTCAACAGTAGCCACCTTGAAGCACCTCAAAAGCATATACAAAACAATTAGGAGACACAAATTAGTTATTCCAATTACCTTATTAACCTCTGCATCCAATTTTCAGAATATAGTAAATTTATTTATGGGAGCCTACTACCTGCCAGATAGTACATTATGATGCTGTATATTATTCCTAATCCTCACAATAATTTGAAACAGTGGATGTTTTCATCCCTACTTTACAGGTGAAGAAACTGAGACTGGCAGAGGATAGATTATACATCCAGAGAACCCAGTAGGAGGACGCTCTAGGCAGCAGAACGCTGTGCATTCTTCCCTTCCATTTGTCCCCACAGGTGCCCACAGAGCAGAGCTGTGGTCCTCAGTGGCTCTGCCTCCTCCTAAAATGAACTCATCTCTAGTGACCTAAGAAAAACGTGACCACTGGTAAACCTGCTCTGAAAGAAGGGCTATTAGAGAAAGTGTGTGGTGGAACATCCTGCCCTTTGCCTTTGGCCTCAGAAAGGCCAAACTGCCTTTCATTCTCAGCACTCAGGGGGTTGCTGCCCCAGGGACACAGCGGAGGTCCCTATCCTGGCACCATCCAGGCCTGCCATTAGGAGGAGCCTTTAAACACTGACCATCTTTCCTCCCACCTTTCCCACCCAAAAGGAAGAGGAAAGAACACTGCTGTCACTTCAGTGAGCTTAGAGCCACTCTTCAGGGTCCTCTCAGTGTTTTTCCTGTGGCCCCAGCACGGGCAGGTGAAGGACGCCGCTGAAGGTGACCTGCGGACATTAGCACTATAGCGCAGCAGGAGTTAGGTGTTCGGTGTGTGGGCTCTGGACTCAGAGCACCTGGGTTACATGTTCAGAGCTAACAGTCGCCCCCTCAGAGACTTTGTTTTCTTTAAAAAATTAAAAGAGTAGACAATAATAGTTCCCCTCCCACTGACTTGTTAGAGATGGGCGGTTAGGGAGAGTCGGGAGACCGGCTGAAGCTCAGCGGAGCAGAGAGCGGTGTTGAACAGATGTTGCCACCGCCATCCTAAGTGAGGGATGCTCCGTGGGCAGTGAATTGGGCCTGCACTGGGCTTCAGTGAAGTGATAATAAAAAAGACTAAATAAAAATTGGAAAAGTTAGAGGGAGAAAGAAAACTGAAAGATAAAAATGGGGCAAAAAAATTGTGCAGACATTTTGTTCCTGAATGTCATGATATTAATTTTAGTATAATATACAGGGCATAAAAAACAGTATGTAAAAGTCAGCTTTTCAACACCATAAAAAAAAAGACTCCCTCTATTAAAACTTGAAATTTGCTTCTAGTTTAATTGTTTCGACAAGCATCAAAGCCGAATAAAATGAAAACAATGGCTTTGCCCACCAATTTATGTGGATGCTTTATGTTATTATTTCAAACCACAAAGAAAAATATTAAGAGTGCAAAGAATTATTTATTTTGGTGGATTTAAAATCTAAATCTGGCGTCATTAATTGCCTAAACTTTTCTTGGATGTACTGCAGCAAGACCATAAACTGTATCCAAGCATAAGGGGCAGAAGCAACATTCTTTAGCTGCAACAGAACTCCCTGTGACATGCTACCACCTCTATGTGAAGTCTGTAACAGATATTCTATATTAGAGTTCAGCATATCATTTAACATACTCATCAAATGCCACCTTGCATGGTCTTTTCACCTATACGTAGGAATCTACTAAGTCTGCTATATATATATATATATATATATATATATATAAAGAAGTCTGACATATATATTTATTTATGTACAAAAGATATACATATACATATATATATATATCTATCTTTTAAGATGTCATAGCAAACATTTGGCACAATTAGGGGTTATTAGACATGTTATTGACTTATCATCTGCTCAAGAATAGCAGCAGCGAAAGCCTTCCAGTAGCTCCTGGAATTCAGATTTAAGGTTACATTTCCCACTTCATTATTCATATAGGGCAACTATTGAAGTCCTCAAAAACTACAGACATGCCTGGCAACAAGGACACTTACTTGCTTTAGGAAGAACAGATACTTTAAAACACAAGTGTGTACTAGAGTTCTAATGGGTATGTGACTTTAAAACAGAAATTAAGATGAAAAACGAAGCAAACAAAACTGCAGGTAATTAGATATAACTAATCTGCCCATTCTTGCCTCAAATAAGGAAGCCTGACACGTTATTAGGAACTTTTTAAATCAACAATCTAATCTATGCTTCTCTATCACCTCTCAAATAGCCAGATGTGTGCTGACTCTAAGAACACATAAGTAATAGTTTTACAATTAGCTTCAGTAGTTGAAAGTGCCAGTACTTTATGCCCTGTAATGAAAACAGTAACAATGCAACTTGCAAAAGAATAGTTTTAAAGGGAATCCAGGGCACTTATGGTGGGAACACTCCTTGGGACTATAAAAGGAACAAATGAACTGTTTCTTGAACCACCATGGTTCTTGCCTTGCCAACTCCCGCACAGATTCCCTGCCGTGCAAACCACAGATGCGCAGGGAAGCCAAGCCAGAGCACCTGACCCCCAACACACCTGTTGAGCCCAATCCCCCAGAGTGTCAATATTCCTTGAGCTGTGTTCAGTACAGTCTGAAAGAGCTACTGATGTAAAAGAGGAGTTATTCTTAGAGGGGCACTCCTCCCCAAAGATCAACAACGACCTAGTAAGTAAAAATGCTTGGAGTTGTTAAAAATAACAACTATCCAAGCAGGGGTTCTTAAACGGAGGTACACACAGGCACTGGAGGGGTCAGCTTGAAATCTTCGGCAAACATCCAAACGTGTACTATAGGTGCATTTGAATGGGAAAGGGGTTGGGGGTATCCCATCTATCACACGTTCGAAGGAATCTGAGACCCTCACAAAAGCTAGTGACCATTATTTTACAGCAGGTCTAAGGACGCCTGAGTTATAAAGTCAGTTTGAGGAGTTCCGCTGTCGTCATCCCTTCTTTAAACAAATAACGTTCCACTTCCCCACCTCCCAACTTCAATCCGCAGTTGTACATTAGGCCATCACTCACTCTGTAAGATCAAGGTGGCCTCTTTAAACGCCTGTTTGTAAAATTGTGGGTGGAGGTGGGAGGAGCAAAGGAATGCTGGGCTCGCCCCAGAGCAGAAGCAAAGTCATCTTTCTTTCAGGGAAGTTGCTTCCACTGTGTCTAAGAATACCCGCCGCGGGGCACCAATCAGCAAAACCCTAACAGGTGTTTTAACAAACACAGAGCGCGTCTGTTTGTTTCTAGAGCGATTTTCCGTTCTTCATATAACTTGTTTAATTCTTAAAAAAATAACCTTAAAAGATGCACAAAAGGGTGCAAAAACCCATGAAGGGGACTTCCTACCCATCCCAGCCGCTTTACAGGGAAATAACTTGTCCCCAGGTCAACCAGTAGCCGGGAAATTAAATCCGCATTGGGGGAGGTTAAAGACTAAAGACGCGGCCTCGCCGGGAGAGTGGTTACCGTCAACTGGGCACTCAGGGTCCGAGTCGCTGCTCATCGCTGCTCCCCGACTCCGGGCTGCCCCCTGGGCGCGGCTCCTGTAGTCTAGGCAGCGGCTGCGGTTGCTGAGGCAGCGCCCCCCTCCGGGACCCGCAGGTGAACCTGGCAGCCGCCACTGCAAGGGGAGGGGCCGGGACGCGCGCTGGGTGCTGCTTTCACCTTGCCAAGCGAAGTTCCAGTGCCAGCCTCTTGAGGACCGCAGCTCTCTATTAATACTTGGCATGAAACTGGCTGCGTGCCACTGACTTGACCCAGGGCCGGGTAATTTGCCTGGGTAGGAATAGGTAGGAAATGCGCGGGGCGGGGCGGGGCGGGGGTGGGGGAGGGGAAGCAGGTGAGGGAGCCTCCGCCTGTGACCTTCCCAGCATCCAGGGGGGTTTTTTGTTTGTTTGTTTGTTTGTTTGTTTTTTGGAGTAAGTGCCTCGCAGGGGCTGATCTACCCTCATAAGCCCTAAGCTGAATATAATGCCTGCCCAGGGAATCTCTGTTAGGGTATCTGAGGTGAACAGGATCCGCTACCTATTCATTCAGTACTGCCTTGACATTTAAGAGTTCTACAAGCCAATTCCTTTTCCAGATTTGCCTCTGCATAATTCCAAGTCTGGAGAAGGGAAAGGGGTAAGCACCGTGTTGCCTGGAAGTAATAAGCAAAAGAGGTGGTGAATTAGAAAGGTGACATATGTGCTTGGAATTTAGACTAAAATTGTCTCAACACTGTTTTCCAGCAAGCCAGGGGAAATTGGGTGTTAGCCATGGTCCTATTGTAAATTTAAATGTAATTAGTGAATGCTGCTTTTTTGTCATTCCTCCAACAAGCCTTATGTTTAAAGTTAAACTCCCTTAGGAGCTTTGAACTCAGCTGTTGATACAATGGGAGCGATCAGCTAATGCCACCTCAAAGCACATTTATGACAACTGCATTAGGGAACTGCGTGTGTAATCCAGATCCTTCAACAGGCTGGGAGGAAAATCCTGGTTTACTTGTGCACACAGCCTGGCCTCATTCCTTAGCAAGCGACTTAGTTCCTCTGGCAGCATCATTAAAAGCCCTACCAGTGGCAACAGTACAGACTTGTCCTCCCAAATCAGAACTCATTGTTCCGAATATGCCTACAACTGCAGCTATTAAAATATTAACATTAAGACCCCACAGATAGGTTTTATGAAGTTCCTGAGCCCCCTCCCCATCTACTCTTTCTTATCCAGTTTCACCTGATAAAGGACTGAGATCTGTCTAGTGATGAAAGCATAAATAAGAATGTCAGGAGTTAATCTTTGGTAACTCTCTTTAAAAATACCATTTTTTTTTCATTTTGTTTCTATTTTTTTAGCACTATAACAAGGGAATCCTTTCAGCTCCAGATCAGAACAGTGACTAATGTGAGCTCTGGTAAATTATATATCTCCCTGTGTGAGACTAATAACCAGGGCCAGCTGGGACCAAAGTGTATTGCAGAAATGACAAGGAATGACACTCCTGCTCCCTCCCCTCCCTACCCCAACCAGGAGAAATGCCATTCAAAATTTCTTGGATTGAAAACCAAAAACTGTTCTACAAGCTCACCTCTCACTGGCTTATCTCAACTTCCATATTTATTCCTAAACAAAGGCATTCTGTTATATTCTTTCTTGCTTTTATTCTTCAATTATTGAGCACTTCCCCTGGGTACTTACTAAGAATTTAAAGTAAAAATTTCCCTCCAAATACCTTAGTGTAGTTGAGAGATACAGGATGAGAGCCAGCTAACCTTTCTTAGATATTTTTTGCTCCATGAAATGCATGGGGCATTGATGATCCACAGTTGAGGGAATGGCTAATTCTTTTTGAAGGATTAAGAAATGTTTTCAACCAGAAGTGACAATCTCCACTAATGATAGTTCCTATCATTTTTAACAATGTATTGTCAACTAAGCCCTCTGCCAACTGCTTTTCATACATTTCCTCCTAGAATCCTTATCATAAGAATTATTAGTCTCCTCTTTTTATAGACGGACAAACAGAGGCTCATTTTAAGTGAACTGTCTGCAGACACGGAGGTGAGGAGTTTCAGACGCACGACTGGAGTGCAGCTGTCTATAAGCATAAACCCTGTACCTAATTTCTATCCTGGATAACACAGACTAGCAAAGATACTTTCCACAATCTGTACTCAGAGCTTTTCACCAAAAACCTTTCAGAAAAATAGGTCCTTGGAGAGTACAAATATTTGGAAAATGAACTCAAGTTTATAATATTGATAGGGCTGAGGAAATGAGGTAGAATACCAACAGTCTAGGCAGAGGGACCAACATGGGCAAAGTGTTAGCATCTGGTCCAGCATTGATAATTGGGTAAATGCTTCTTGGAAGGGGTGAAGTGGGATCTGGGAATGTCCAGAGATAAGGGAAGGGAAGGGAACAGGTCCCAGGTTGTGAAAGACCTGCAGACCACGTTTAGAAGCTTAGACTTTCTCTCATAGGCAGTGAAGAACCAATGAAGGGTTTTAATCTGGGGACCGATGGAGAGAGGCAGTAGCATTTGGAAGACAGTCAGAGGCAGGGGTGGCCACTGGGTGCAACCAGAGCCGAAGATACCAGTCTCGATAATCAAGGTGAGAGATGACAATTGCTGCCACCAGGACAGGGAAAGTAAGGACTGGGAGGAGGGACAGATAGGTGATACAAATGGGGGTGTGTGTAAAAGCTGAGTGTGGGTAGGGGCCCCTGACTGCCTTTTCCATTGCTGAAGCCACCACTCAGAACAGCATTAGGCATGGACCAGACGCTGAATACAGAGTTGTTAAATGAACACATCAACAGGATTCGGGTCGTGACCAGACTCAGAAATGGCAGGAGAATGGCTAATGAGGTGTCCCTTCTCTTAGCGTTTTCTACATCTTTCTAATCAGTAGACTCATCTAGGGCAGTTACTAAAAATACAGATTTTTAGCACTTTCTCTCCAATTCCTAGGTCTTAGGTGGAAACCTGAAGTCTATTTTTTAATAAGCACAAATGATTAGTCATGAGAAACTAGTGATTAATTTGGAAAATCCTGCTATATTGATTAAAAAGTTATATCCAAGAGGAAGGAGGGGGTTGTGTCAGTGAAGTACATGATGGTACTGGACTTCTGCATTCCTTCTCCTATGTTGTTTAGAGATACACCTCGGCGCTCATAACTGTATACCAGGGGACTCACACCATGGTTACCTATGTCATTTCAAGAAAGGCATGTCTATGTTGTAAGCAGTGTGACTGCCCCCCACTCACTATTAGGACCTCTGGATAAATCCACTAAGCTGTCTAGAAATCCCACCGTGGGCTCACGCCTTAGGTCTGATCAGAAAACACGAGGCAGTTCCTCTGGAATGTTACTTCTTGGAGTGTGACTGGCAGACCATGGCTGGTCTGGGAAGTGTGCATAACTAATCAACAAAAAGTTAAACACAGAAAATGAGAAAGTCATTTGGAACCTCTGCTAGAGACACATGGACACCGTGGACCTGGTGACTATTGTGGGGGGCTGTTCTGTGCATTGTAGCACATGGAGCAGCATCCCTGGCATCTACCCACTAGGTGCCAGCAGCATCCTCCTGCCAGTTTTGACAACCAGAAACGTCTCCAGACATTGACCACTGTCCCCATAGACAAGATGTTTCAGGTTGAGAACCACTGCTTTACAGTAACCTGACAGACAGATTTTGTCTGTGGTATCTAATAATAGAAAAATACGATTGGGCTTGCATTATGCCTGTCTTTTTATTTCACTTTTCTCATAATTTGTTATTATCATATTTTACAATTCATTTATGACTGGGTTTTAAAAAAATGTCCTTCCCCAGATAGCTTAAAACACACTGCTATAGAAGGTCACTATTAAAACACAGAGTGGTCCCTAGAAGAAAGGGTACAACTTTGGGCTATCCTAAATAAACCATTCTGCCATGATAACCACACATTATGAGGTGACTTATTAAGAAATTAACTAGTTCCTATTTTTTATGTTTTTTGGTTTTGCTTCTGTAGTGCACCATGGGAAAATTGAGAACACTCCCACCATTGCTACCAACAACAACAACAAAAAGCAAAAGCAAAAGCAGCCACAACTAGGTTCTCCATCCTCCAGCAAGAGAGAGTAAGCGGTTCTCTCGCCTTTCCCAGGACAGATGAGAATTTGCTGCAGAAGGGGTGGGCCAGCACAGTGGCAGAAAGGCCTCGGTCTAGGACACAACCTGCCCAGACACTGGCTGAATGTGGCCTACAAAGAGGTTTTATTTGACTTCACATTGATTTTTTAAATTTAATTACCAAACTATTTCTCATAAAAATCCCATTCCCAGCATCTGTCAAAGAATCAGAATCTCTTGGCCACAGCGGGCCTGCCTTCCTGCATGGTGTCCATCAGCTGAAACTGAGAAGCAGCCCTGGCCCTTCATCCTCTTCCTCAGTCTCCTGGCACAGCCCACTTTCTGGTACGTGCCAGCATGTGATTGGTGGTGCCTGATCTAGACCAACAAGCAACTAGTCTACTTATCTGGAGAAACAAAGAAGACAGAGAATGTGACCTTTGAGAGTAGAAGGAGATGGGGCCAGGGACTCCCCAAGCCTGGAGGAGGGCAGGTCAGAGTTTCAGATGGTTGCGGTAACTGGGTCCTGGCCCGGGTCCTGGGCCATGGAGATAGGCAGGCTTCAAAAGGGGCTGGCAGTGTAGGCGTCCCTATGAGTGGGTGTAGATGGCCTACTCTGGACAGTCCTGACTCTTCCATTGGAAGCTGACCTCCAATTATTTTATTTTGCCAGATCAGCAATGCCCCCATGAGCTATATTGAGGACCATCTCCCATCACCAATTTTGTAGTTTTCTAAGACATAAGAACCCCATGCTAGAAAATGCCTAAAAAACCTGGCAAGTGAGTGCTGGGGCCAAATTGAATAGACCTTAGGAAATAAGTAACTGTGACATTGATTGCACTCTGAGTGCCAGGGAGCAATTGCCTTCTGTTAGAGAAACGCTTAGTATCTACCATCTGCAGGCTCTGAGTCTACAAAGACAGATAAGGCGAATCAGTGGTCTTTGCTCTACGGTGCTTCTAGCTGAGGG